TTTGCATTTTGTTCATATTAATCTTTGGTGTGACCTCCAAGGAAGCGTGATACAATTTTTAAAACATTATTATTGCATCATCCATACGATCGGCTATAAGGACGATATCTTCTGCAATTATCAAACTACTGAGCTTCTCTCCATTATTTATGTTGATACCATGCTCGTTGAGATGTCCCTTCTTACAAGTGTGTTCTAAAAGTGTCGTGAATAGCTTTGGAGAGACGATGACTCCTTGCCGTACTTCTCGCTGTATACAGAATTTATTTGTTTCTTGTTCAATTAGTCTTACGCTCGCTGTGGCATTTTGGTAGATATATTTGATTATGTTAGTGTAGCGATGGTCTATTTGGCATTTTGTCAATGGTTTTAACATTTTCTGATGGCTTGTGGTATCAAATGCTTCCTGGTAGTAAAGAAATATCAGTCCCAATGGTTTGTTGTATTCTGCAGACTTCTCTATTAGGTTCTTTATCAGTAGTAAGTGGTCATTAGTGCTGTATCCCGATTTAAATCCAGCTTGTTCTCTGGGCTGATAGAAGTCTAATTTAGCGTCCATCCTTTTTTGTTTGATAGTTTTTGTAAAAAGTTTATATATATATATATATATGTGAAAGACGGTATCAGCAAAGTGATAGGACGATAGTATTAGTAATAGATGTATTGGTGTCTATAACATCAGTTATTTCTCTTTTGTTGTTTTCACTTACGTCTTTTCGGATTGACCAGTAGATATCCTTATTTAATTTCTTCATTATTCCATCATATGCATTCGTTGTTCTTCTTTTTTCTAACCAATATCGACTGCCATATACGGTTATCGTAGTTGGTCTTATGGCAGTTTTACAGAATTTTTCTTGTAGTTTTATGGCCATATTTCTGTTATACAGCACACTACTTCACCACCATTGGTGCTACAGTTCTATAAAAGAGCCTCGACCTTTCCAAGTCTAATACGCCAGTCAGTTCTATCCATTGCCAACTGTTGCCAGTTTGCTGCGCCTATTTTTCTACCATCCTCATCTACACCATCCCTTCATCTGAGTTTTCGCCTACCCCTACTTCTACTTCCCACAGGTTGTGACATAAGATTCTTCTAGGAGGGTTGTTCTGCTGTGATCTTGCCAGATGTGCTTATCTTAGTCTTCGTATTTTTATAAGAGATACTACGTCTTTACCACTAAATATATATTTATATCTATGACATATCTCGTAGTTGTACCTCCTTCTCCAGACACCATTTTCACTGATGCCACCGAATATTCTTCTCAGGATCCTTCGTTCAAATATAAGCAGGAGGTTTTCATCTGCCTTGGAAATGGTCCATGTCTCCGATCCATTTGTCAACACTGGTTGTATAAAGGTTTTGTATAAGGATATTTTGTTTTTTTTTTTTTGGTTTAAGTTGCTGCTTCTTATATGTCTACTAAATCCAAAATAGCATTTGTTTGCTAGGATTATTCTTCTCTTGATTTCTTCTGTCATGACATTCTTCTTGGTGATCAGGGAGTCTAAGTATGTGAATTTGTCCACCACTTCAAAGGTAGAGTTATCAACAGTGAATTGGTGGCCGATGTTTCTGACTCTATTGTTGGGTGTTAATGACATTATCTTAATTTTCTCCTCATTTACTTGCAGGCCCATATTTTTTAAGCCATTTTAGAAGGTGGTATACACAGTACACCACTTACCTCTTTTCGTTTCGTTCATTCCGCTTTAACTTTACCGCATGCATTTATATCTATTTTAATATTATTATGTAAAACCGATACTAGATACTTAAAATTATTACTTTGCATAATCGCTTCATTATCCAAAACTATCATCTTATTTGTAGTAATAATTCCAACTTTAAAAATATGTTTCAAACTTTTTTCTTCAAGATTTTGTCACCACTGTTTTAGTCTTTACTCTAACTTCCTTTTAGTATTTACGATTACCACTACATAAACAGAAATCAGTGAGCAACGTGGAATGTTTTCGTGTAATTTCCCCATTACCTGAACAAATATAAAGAAAATAATTAAGGACCAGTACTAAGCCTTTATGTAATCGTAGTTTCAAATCAAATTAATCAATATATTCCACACCTATCTTAACATTAGTCATTTCTGCCTCATCACATTATTCACGTTCTCACCGAGAATTCCTTTCTTATTGAGCGCTCATCACAGAATCTCTTGAGAAACCGACTTTTAGTATGTAGCGCTTGTTTTTTTATTCCTATATTTTTCATCAACTGCATTATAATAAATATATTCTCCGTTTTGATATGCCTGTTTTCACATATTTTTGGTTTCTTTACATATCCAGCTATCGATAATAATTTTGTCTACATCTAATCTGATTAACATATTTTACTTTCTTACAGCTTCTTTCTTGCTCTGTCGATTTTACAGACTTCGTAGTATTAAGTTAATCGTTTCGAGTTTTATACTCTGCTACTTGAGCTTTTGTTATTACTACTTTTTGTTTTCATTTGCCGAATTTAAAAATTTGAAATCTATGTCAAACCTATTTGTTACCACTATTTTTACAGTATTAAATTCTGTGGTGTTTTACATTTAAAATGGATACTGAAAAACTGATATTATTAGTTCAAGAGAATGATGAAATTTATAATTTTAAAACCTCGAAAAATCGAAATCAAGATTGTATTGCCAGTGTTGTGGAGAAGTATTGCTAAAGAATTAAACACAAGTGTTAAGTAATATATTACATATAGCAAAAAAAACTATCTTATCATCCAATATTTTAAATATATAAAAAATATTATTTGAAAACACTTCTTATCATTACTGGTACCGAACATGTAGGAGACGAGAAGAAATTTGTTAATGTTTCTCGAACCTGTAATACCTCATCGTTTAGCTCTGCGGCTGGCTATGGGTTGAAGTTAAGGAACATTTCTGTTTTCTAACAAAAATTCCTGTTCCCAATTTTGGTCACGTTTTGATAGAATCTTCCTTTGATTCGATGTTATTTTCGACAACTTTTTAAACAATTTCAAATTTCTTAGTTAATCTACCAAATGCACATTCTACCGTTCGCCGAGCTCTAGACCAAGCTCTAGTTAAAAGATTAAGTTGTCTTCTAGCAAATGGTGTCATCAAATTCTGTCTCAAAGAAAATGCTTCATCTCCAACTAAATAAGTTCATGTGCATCAGGAATATTCAGTGCCTGAGCAGTAAATGCTCTTCCCATTGTAGGTGCAGTAAAAATTGTGCTATCGTTATCTCTGCCATATGTTCCTACTTTGATGAAAATAAAGTAAGAATTTGCATCTGCAATGGTCATCAAATCAATTTGTAAAACAACTTTGAAATATCTGTCTACAGCTGTGTTGTTATTACCACCATATACAATGGTTGCAAAGCATTCCAATGAACTTCGTTTAATTCTCTGATTATGTAGTAGTGATGATTTCAATGCGAAATGGGTAACTGAGATGTAAATGAATCTCCTATTGTCTCCTTTTCTTTATTACAAAATTTGTCTTTTGTGTTATTTTTCTTTAAATTTCTTACAGATGGACATGATAAAGCAAAATGCCCAATTTACAGAGTAGTTACATGCGAGAAAGAAGAAAAATGAAGAACATTCCTTCGGGGTTTGCTAGTATGCTAAAATCAACATGACCATAGTTTCTGTTATTTTTAGATCCCACTTTCGATTTTAAGGCGACTTCAGTAAATAGCCGGAAATGGATATTTTAAATGTTGATGATGAAGATGCAGAAGGACATGCAGCCTCACAAGAGAAATCTCAGCAGATTTATTAACAAGAGTAACGACAAGATGATCTGATACCAAATAATTCTACAGGATCAGATGACAAAGAAATTAAAATAAATAAACGAAAAAAAAAACAAGCGAAACAGAAGCGAAATAAAATTGATAAGCAATATCTCAAACACTTGAAATTAATTGCTGAAAAAGCGGATGATGACAAAAATCCAAACCTTATGTTCTTACGTAGCTTGGTTTCTTTTTTGAAGCAAGTGAGACCCCTTAATAATTTGGAATTTAAAGCACAGATAAATAATTCACTGAAACAAAAATTAAGTGGCAAATCTAAGATTTTAAGTCCAGTGTCAGTAGATACTTTACAGTGTGTCAAATTATTCACGACCCCATTCAGCAGCAAGTGTACATTTAATAAAATAGGTAACTAACTCTGGTTACTTCAGAATGTTATATTTTTCATGACTTTTAGGAAATTTTTAAGTTTAGCAAATAAATAAAATAATACAAATGCGTATATATTTTGTCTAAAATGTTACTATTATCGCAGAAAAACGTAACTCTATAATTTGTATTTTGTTTTTTAATTCTTTCAAATGTAGCATTTTTTAAATGTAAAAATAAATCTATACTCCTTCGAAAATAGTTAGTAAAATTTTAGGATCACCTAGTAAATCAGAAAACATATATACCTGAAGGAATTAAAAACAGATCTTCTAATATTAATAAGATTAACCCAAAATACCTTTCCTCGTTGCCTTATTCTCTGATAACTCTACAAGACGCATTCACTGCGAAAATTAATGACCGACTTATGATTTGACTGGACTTGACTGGACTCGTTTGGTGCAAAATGAGCCTCAGCTGGAAATTCGAACAGACACTCTATTTGATTACAAAACATTTTTATTCCATGAGATGCCACTATTTTATTATAACTTTTGTCATAATATGTGATAACTGAGTTTATTTTCCTTACAGTTTTATATCCAGTATGGTTTAGCGAATACACCGAGGCAACCAAAGCACACTATTATTTCGTACCCATATATATTTTTTTGTAGACCAGGATCCCTACTTTAACGAACGAAAATCTATTGTTGTTCGTATTCCGTTAGTAAGAAAATGCGTTTATTATAGTAAAAAAAGTACCCGATTAAATAATAACTTTGTAAGAATTTATCCAACATTATTTTTTAGGGTTTTAATTATAATTTTTAAGGCTATAGCTTTTTTATCCATTGTTTATTTCTTACCTGCTCTAGTAATCCTAGAAACACTAAATCGACTGCTATAGTTAACCTTGAAGAAACTCTCCACCACGGCTCTCTCATACTTTCCCGCGCCGTTAAGAGGACTGAACAGGTATTCCGGGTCGATATTGTTGTGAATTCGTTGGTATCCTGTCATACCTAAGAGTGTTAGAAGAATCGGAACGATTAGAAAATATCCTGGGTGTTGGCCGACTGTATAGCCTAGTTTGTAAAACGCTTTGTTTAGGTTTCTATCAACTATTCTTAAGCCCACCATCTGAAATAAAAAAAAATGGATTAGCTAAAAGTAACACATTAAAATTTGTAAATTACATATAAACCTGCTGACCTTGTGGTCATAATGTTGACGTAGGTAGTACAGACTTATTAACAATATATCGATATACTTTTAATTAAATACATACTACGTTACATATCTGTTGTCTAAGAGTTAGGACTAGCTTTAGGAATTTATAAATAAATGTTTATTAGTTAGCAAATCATTGGATTTTTAGTTTTCTGGTACTCATATCCTTAGTACATATAACTTGGGCTAAGCGCACAGACAAAAAGATCCAAAGGGTCCAATAAATACGTATTTATGACATTGATTTTCATAAGTACGAGAAAGTCAAGATAAAATAGATAAAATAACTTCAGGTGATTAAACCATTTTGTATTATTAATTATACATTGCCTTCCATCTTATATACCTAATTTATCCATCCATTTTATGCGTAATTAAACCAAAAAACCTGCAGATCTAAAAAATCATGAATATTTAAATTCCAGTTTACGAAAAGTAGATAAAAAAAAAGAAAAAAAAATAAAGATAGTGAATAACAGCCAAATTTTCATTCATAGACACAAATTATACATGACAATAGCATTGAGACCTAAAAAATCCTATGAAAAAGAAACACTCAAATATTATCATAATAAATCGATTTATCATATTTTGTACGGTGAAGAAATGTTGATATTATATAGATTATAGAACGCTTTTACACTTAAAAATATTATTTAATTTTTGCGGTACATTTCTGAGAGTTCCGTATTTTTATGTGACCTAATTTATTATATATGAGGCTCAGTCTTCTTCTTCTTCTTCGTGCGACTAGGATTACTCCTGTTTGCCTGCCTCTTATTCTGTTTCAGTCATTGTTGACTGTACATTATCTTTCCACCTTTATGGCAGCCTTCCAACGGGTCTTCTGCTATACGGTTTGTTGTTTTTATAGATGTTCGCTAATCTATCTGGTCCCATTCGGTTTACATGTTCGTTCCAGTTCCACAAGGCTCAGTCGAATGTATGAATAAGTTGGAATTGATCTGTATTTATGTCAAACAATACCACATTATCATTTGACACAATATCAAAATTTTATTAAATACATTAGCTAACTAACATCCAGCGGCAAAAGAAGCACTTGGTATGGACTAAAATAAGAATAAATATTCAGAGACATATAGTAAAGACTTAGAGAAGATAATTATAAGAAAAAAGATGCAATTCATAAGCGGTTGAAAGATAATAAAACTCCAGGAACACGAGATGAATGTGAAGTAAACTGTAGAATGGGAGAAGAATGAATACTTGAAGAGAATGTGTAGAAACATGTTTCACATCATTGGCTTAATTAGGTCAACGGAATTTTGGAAAAAATAAAAAAATATCAGAAGAAATAAACAAGGTAACCGTCTTACAAATATGAAACAGGTGATATTACAACAATAACGAACGGCGAAGCTAATATCGTAGAAAAATATATAAACAAAGCAATTAAAAAAGCCAATAACAACAAAACATCTGTACCAGAAAACATAAAAATGGATTGGTTTAAATATGGAGGAGAAAGGTCCGTTTGTATCATTTATTAGAGTATTGTTTAATAAAATTCAAATAGGAGAAGATATTCCAAGTGAATGGAATTTATCATACATGTCGTCTATACTTAAAAAATTAGGCATAAGCTTAATTAATAACTATGGAGAGATTGGTATAATGTCTCTAATTGCAAGAATTTTTCCTGCAGTACTAAAAACAGAACAACACATGGTTCACTGCAGTGAAGAAAAGTCTGGACTTAACAGTATAGACAACAGATTGATTATCTTAAGACAAGTCTTGAAGAAAAACATTAAAACACATATGACCTTCAGATATATGGAAAAAACGTATGTACCCAGGTGTACAAGTAAGGAAAACAATAACATGAAAAATTGATAAATATAACAAAAGTATTATATAAGGTTACAAAAGCTAAAATAAATATCAATCACTGTAACAAAAGGTTTGATTTAACAAAAAATTTGATTAATAGCTGTACCTCCATGGGCAGTTAAGTCCGGGTGATTAGTAGGGTACGCTAAATAATGTGGTATTTTAAAATACGGTTGTTCGACTTCATGTGCTATTATTTCATCTTCTCCATCGTATTAGTTATCGTAAACTTTTTTAATACCTTGTGTATTTTAATTGCTCTCTCTATAAGACACAAAAGAAATGTTATGTTATATTAATTGGTAGGGCTATATTATATAAAATTTGCCTCGATTTGTACCTTACCCTGTATATGACTGGAACTACATAAGTTGCACTTTGAATAATCAAAACAAATTGCGTTTATTTTTCAAAATGTCGAATTCATCGAATTAGTACAAAAAATGTTTAATATAAACAAACTAAATATTAAAATTAATTTTTTAGTGACATAAATTATAAAACATCATTGATATTACCAGACAGACGAAATATATTTCAAAAATAAAATTAACCTATAGCAAAATATCCTACAATTAATTCAAAGGTGATCATCTTTTTTTAATCGTTAGATTAAGTTCAGTGTCCACATAAATAGAAATTGCGTAAGATAAACATTTAACGACTTCCAAACAGGTGAAATGATTTGATCAAGTGACTAGTGACCTAGTTTTTGGGATACGTTAATCTTGTAGGCATCTCAACTATGACCAGACAACTAGCTCTAGATTCTTTTTAAATAGTTGTTTCAGTCATTGACGTTTTATGGACAGGTAAAACTAGACAGCCGTGACTAATGTGTTTTAAAGATATTGTATTGGTTCTGTTTAATTTTTAACGATTAGAGAGAGAGAGAGAGAAAAGAAATTTAATGTTTGCAGATAAGTTAAATAGTAAACTCTTAAATATTGGGGAAATCTGCAAAAGATTTCCCCAATATTTAAGAGTTTACTATATATATATATATATATATATATATATATATATATATATATATAATATATATATATATATTATATATATATATATATATATATATATATATATATATATAAAATGATGATATTATACTAATATCATCGTCATAATTATTATGTTATCTACTATTTTTAGAGAGAAATAACCACAATTAAAAATATGTTGAATTTAGATTTCCAAATCGAAACGTTTAACTATTGATTTATTTTTCAATAAAAAATTATTTTCCTTTTTCTTATTCTTCTTCTTACGTTAGTACTACATCCTGTATTTCTTTAATGGTTTGGCAGTAACAGTTGAGACGAGGAACGATCCACATAGATAAAAAAGTCGAATAATGTGTATATGCACCTCTAAGAACAACACATTCTTGGATGCACCAGGGCTTACTTCTGGTTAGATGGTCAATATTCTCCTAGAGTACCATATTTCATATGTTGGTAAATAGGAAGACACGAACAATAGACCCTTTTCTCGACGACTCCGGATTAAATTTGCTTTCCTGAAAAAACCTACTGAAAACCACCTGCCACCTGAAAAAAATAGTTGTAGTATGGTAGGATCGTTTTACCCTGTCGTATTTCTGATAACCGCCCGAAAAATAATTTATGACTCTAGTTACAGCCACTCTGTTATGCTTTCCGTTTTCTACCTGCTTTGTGGTACCGAACCTCCTACTGGTCGGCTGTAGCACTTAAGGATAAATCAGCGCTATCAAAACAATTTTTTTATAAATCGTGAAAAAACGCAAATTCTATAATATATACAGACTATATTCAGTGAACACGTTTGAACAAAAATTATTAAAAAATTTGGAACATCCGTCATTATTAGTCTTAGACAATGCTTCGTATCACACCAGAGAGGAGAAAAAGTTTCCCACAAGCAGCTGGAAAAAAGAAGTCTTAAGAAAGTGGCTGTCGGAGAAAAATATAGAACACGAACATCTAGTTTTAAAAGCTGAATTATTAAATAAGTGCAAAGAACACATTACTGAGAAAAAATTTATCGTTGACCAAATGGCACTAAAATATGGTGATGAGGTCCTAAGACTAAAACCATATCACAGCCAGTACAATCCAATTAAGTTGGTGTGGGGCATCACTAAAAACTACTATGATAAACATGCATGTAAGACCACCGACGAAGTCAGCGGTTTACAACTCTGGCAAGATGCACTAAACCAAGTCAATGAGGAACAATGTCGGAAATGTATTGAGCATACTAAAAAAAAATTTTAGAGTCATATGAAATAGAACAAGTTATTGATGAAGTAAGACCTTTAATTATTCGTAGAGACGAAGATTCAGATGAATCTTCGTCAAGATTCAGATGAATCTTCGTCTGATGAAACAAAAAAATAAAACAAAAACAACATGCAGGAGAGAGCCGGAGGCACGCCGCACGACGCTCTTGAATGCAAGCATTAAAAAAATTAGATTAGCAAGTAAGGTAGATTAGGGACATGACTGGACGAATGGCTGGGTATTAGACGACGGATGAAAGGATTCGATGCTTGCTCGCTCTCGACTGCACTTGGTGCAGAAAAGGGAAAGCAAGTATCGGCACACACAACCATCATTAGATCGCCGAACAATTGCTTTGACCGGTAGTAATAAAGCCAAATGGGTTAACCTACCACTTATATGTAAATACACGGAAATCGAAATAGTCGAGACCTGGCTCCAAAGACCAGGGGCGGAGGAAAGCCGGGGCTGGTTGTACTGCAGGAAGACAACCTACCTCGGTGGGTTTGGGAAGGTGTGTATGGGAAGTAGGAATAAGTCTTTGTTTTATATAGACATATATTTTTATAGATATATTTATAAAATATGTAAAAATAAAAATATAATTCAAAATTTTCACGCTGAAGAAGAAATTGTGGAAAATCTTGAGCTACAAGACCGGGAAGATGATTTGTTGACCTTTTACAAAAGTCATGAAATTAATTTTTTTTCTACCCAGAGATTGATGCAGCCCTATTGACGGAAAATCAAGAAGGAAACTTAGCTAGTTGTGTTAGTGATTTTAAAGAA